ATATGTTCGCTGGCTGTTTTGGCACACTTAGGAATTTTATTTTTAAACGTTCAACATATCACTATATGCGCCAATGTCTGGTCTTTCTGATAGATTGAACAGATTATCATTAGGTCTCTATATGTACGAGTTACCGGACTTTAAAGTACCATGTGTTTTCGCTAAATCGAACAAAATTTATATTTTCGTTGGCTGTTTTGGCGCACTTAGGAATTTTATTTTTAAACGTTCAAGATATGACTATATGCGCCAATGTCTGGTCTTTCTGATAGTTTAAGCAAATTTTCATTATGTCTCTACATTTACTAGTTATTGGACTTTAAAATATTATCTGTTTTCACTAAATCAAACAAAATTCATATATCCGCTGACCCTTTTGGTACACACAAAAAATTTTAATATCGGCAATTATAGTCGATAAAAAGATGCGGCTGTCGCTGTTGAAAAGAGCATGAAACGCACTTGGCTTTTCATTTAATAATTTCCTTCAAAGCACATTAAATCGTTTCAGTAGTTATGTTCAAATTTTAAATGTTTCAAACATCAATAGCTCATTTTTTTCAGATGGGAAGCTATGTTCATTTTGACATCGTCAGATGCAAAATTAAATTTTGTTTCCATTTTATTAAGTCATAGATATTAAGGTCTATGCTTGATTGTTTTCAAAATAATTGCAATTTGTTAATTATTCTGTACTATGTGAGTACCGTTGATGTTGTAAACCGTTCATTTTCATATTTAATAATTTAATGTAAATGAAGTTTGTTCCCAGTATCGAAGTTTTATTCACTTAGGTAATAAACCATTTTGAGATTATTGTGTTGAGTTTAAGTAATTTTATTAATAATTCGAATAAACATGACAGAATGTATTTTCGGCTATAGACCCATGCCGTCTAGTATCTTCTATCCGTTTTCTCTGCACGTTAATTTATTATTATCAAATCGCAATGATTTTGAAAATCATCAAGCGTAGACCCCCATATGCCTTAACAAAATCAAAAGAGAATTTAATTTTGCATTCGACGATTTCAAAATAAACATAGTTTAGTATCCCATTCGAAAAAAATGAGTTATTGATGTTTGAAGCATTTAAAATTTGAACATTACTACTGCAATGATTTTCTGCAGATGAATTGGGTTACTTAACTAGGGACATTTTTGAAAATCAAAAATCAAGATTTACAATTTATAAAAAAACAGAAGTTCAATTTTTTAGGAAAGTCATGCTACATTTATTCATTAAATATTTATTTCGCTCGAGTTTGTAACACTATTATACGTATTGTGTATCGTGTATTACTATCTCACCTTTATTTGACCTATTGTTAGCGTTCGAGTCGTCACAGAAACGAACGAGATTTTTTGTGGCCGATAAAACCACTATTTCTCTGTAAAAATATTTTAACGTTGAATAAAAAGAAATAGCATGAATTCATCTAAATAAAACTATTTAAGTATATAAGTTACACAAACGTTATATTTTCTAGAAATTACTAAGTAACTCCAAAAAGATACCGAGCAGGCAAAAACTATGCTTAACAAACTGTACATTAAAATTGATGCAGAATTGAAAAATGTAATCATTTACAGGGTGTTCCATTTAAAATAAGGTAGCTTATGTATACTTCCGGTATATCCGGAAGTCCGCCATCTCTCAAAAATTATTTTCCGTAGATGGATTATTTGACATTTTTTATTGGAAACATTTTCTTTCCATTTCAACGACTAGAGAGCAAGGCGCGCTTAATAGACTACTCTGTATAATAATATTTAGGTCTATGTAATCCCATTGTGATTTGAGATTAGCAATATTCAATTTTCTCGCAATATTTGAATAATCATGGTCTATTTTATTCATTGGTTCATTAGTATGAAAAGAAAGTGTACTGTTAATTATTGTAGATTTATAATTAAAATACAATAATAATTTCTACCATTACACGTATTTTTTTTATATTTTTCAGAAAAACTATTGTGAACCACAACTAAACACCCTCCAGCCAAATAAATTCTTTGCTGAGAAAACGGTTGGAATAGGGGAACTTTCGTTTTGATGCAGTCTGGGCAATTTTGGATAGTCGCAACATAAAAAAGATAAGTTGAGTTTTTTTATTTTAATATCTATACACATGTTTCACAAGCTTTCCTTTTTCTTATCGAGAAAAATTTTCATGTTGATTACCTACCTGTATATTTCTTTATTATAATGACAGTTTCCTAAAAGTTAATTTATCAAAAAAATTTATTCAAATTAAATTCACATATTTAAAATTTTAAGATTAAGGATAGCATTAAAGTAGAAAACAGAAAATTATAGCGGACATGTGTTTAAACTAATTTAAACTATCAAAGGGGGCTAAACGAACATACTTCATTAAATAGTACACTGATATATTTCACCAACATTACTATTGTTCTCGAAGTACTGTTTCGATCGGAGTGATTATTGTCAAAAGTAACTACAAACACGTAATGCTAATTTATGGGGAAAAGCAGCCTAATTCTATCTGGTTGTTTGCAAAATTTTTTTAATTTTGAATGTACGTATTAACGTTCTTATAAAGGTTTTGTTTTATCTAAATTTAAATTACTATATTCACTAATGTCTTTTTTATGAATAGACTCAACGTGTTCGTTAATTCTGGTTTTGAATACTCTTCTTGTCTGACCTATATACACAGCATCGCAATCTTTACAAAATAATTTACATACGCTATTTTTTCAGTTTATATCGCTATTTGGTTTGTTGTTAGGTACATTCTCAAGGTCTGATAAATATATATAATTTGTATGAACATACATACGTACATATCAAATTTTTAAGAACAATTTAAAACTAATATTTTTGATGCACCGATCGATACAGTATTATCAAGAACATTAATACAGGTGGAGAAACAATTGTTTTATTTAATTAGAACACGTACTAATTCATCAATGGTTTAAGCGCTAGGGTTAACAAAGGCGGCACTTCGTTAATCGCGTTAAATACTCAGTAGTATTTTTTTACTTATTATGGGAACCATTGTTCCAAACTAAGTTTGCAACTAATATTCTTTCACTAAATTTTCCAAAAAAATATTTTGCTATTTTAATTTTCATAAAGTAGAAATCAAGTACTAATTTTTCTTAATTATTGTCAGCTAATTTTGATATACGTTACAATATCGCCTTCATTATTAATCCCTTATATGTTTAATTAATTAAATTAATT